AACTAACCTTAGTTGAGTCATTGTTATCCTTAAAAGAGTTAATCATGCCTTCCTCTATTACGGCTATAGCATCACAGACATGCTCTTTAAGCATGACTATTGAGTAAAAATGATCATTGACTTTCACCATAATGTTTTATTTGATAAGCTCTGCAATGGTAGTACCTAATTGTATCCTTCCATAATTTAATCGTCGCCTTTCTGCCGTGGCTTGGTCTATCTAGATAAAATCACCAAGTGAAGAAACTAACTTATAGAAGAATAATTCTCCCCAAGCATGCAAAGGGACCGTATAACAATGTACCCAAGTCACCCTCCGCGTAACTACCATACTAGGGTGCCACTCCTGTAGATCATAGAACCATTTCTCCTATTACAATTTGTTGAGCGATACTGTAACCTCTAAATCTACCCCCGCATAAAATTCCACAAATACCATGTCATCACCCATGGTCGTGAGATTAATATCTTCCCGCAGGAGAGCCCCTTGCATACTTTTCAAATCCTTTTTTCTATGAAGGTGTCTAACCATAGCACCTCTACACTTTTCAATCAGCCCCTCATCCACCTCATACTCAAAATGAGCCCAAGATTTCTTCTTTTTCGCCCACTTCTGTCCCTTTTGTGTCCCATCTAGACGAGGTACTTTAAGCTTGTCCGCGTACGTATTCCCTGACATCTTTGTAGTCCCAGTGACAAATGAGTGTCTCATTCCATTGCCCTCTGTTGACACTATCGGACCCATAGTTTTCTCCCTTGCATGCATTGTCAAGTTGATAGACAAGCGCATCCTGTCAATGATAATGGATCTAAGCGTAGCCTCCAAACCCTTGGCATCTGCTACATCCACAAAACACACAAAATTAAAGCAACGTTCTTGTTTGTCACTCTTTTGTGGTATGAAAACATTAACCACCTTCCCCTACTGTTGAAACACTCGCCACAAGGCCGAGACACCAATGGCAAGTGGGAAATTTGTAAAAAAGTAAGACGTGAAATTGTTGAGAACTTTCCCATGATGCCCACCAAATTTACCCCTTCCCCTAGACCTCTGTTTCACCATTAAGTTCTCCAACTCCTTTATTGCATTCCAATTTTTGTTTTTCAACGATTCAAATCTTAGGGTTTCTGATTTTTCGTAGAATAGGCCATAGCAACCAGCGGAGACTATAATGAATTCAATTGGCACAAATTCTTATAATATGTTTTTATCTCCTTGCCTTGGATCTCCGATGCTCAATAAACATTCATCACCGTCTTCATCGATGTGCAACCAATAGAGGGAGAAATCGAAAGCGGCGTGAAAGAATTTCCTGGCAGTGGGAAAGGTGAAAAGTCCCCTTTCGCAATTCATACTTATTATCTTTGAACTATATTTAAGAAAAATTTATTAGAATTGATAATTATATAATGTTAAAAATAACAGTAACAAAACTACTGTAAATGATATTTAATAAAAAAATTATCAAAATTTATTATAAATGAAATAATTTCAAAATGTTCTATGTCAAATGTTGAAATTAGAAAAAATAATATTGATTAAACTGTACAAAAATATTTTTGAGAAAATTTGATGAAGTTCTCGAATTATCTTTTAATTAAAAATAAAAATGTACCTTTTTTTTTACTTGTATTTAACATTTGAATATTAATTATTATATTTTATTATATATTATTAAATTAAATTTTTAATAAAAATACAAATAAACTATAATAGAGATGAAAAAATAACTTTTATTATATTAATTTTTCATTTTTAACTTTTTATATATCTCCAAGTAGAACTTCATCTCTACTTATATAAGTATTGTTTACATAACTTTTGAAAAACCTTGCTCACTGTCCTTTCAATTATTATCTTTTTTCTTTGATTTTGTAATCATGTAAGCTGTTAAAAATTACTTATTCACACAAGTAAATGTGTTTTTGAGTTTGATATTTTTTATTTTGTTTCAGTAAATTGTGTTATATATTTCAATTTAATTTTTTTAATAAGCATAAAACTGTATTATTTTAAAATGATATCATATATTGAATGTTAATTTTAACTGATTAATTTGTATCAAATATATTATTTACTATTATTACTATATTTATGAATTAAATTAAATAATTTTAAATGATATTTCAACATAAAATTGTTGTTAAATTATTATTATTATTATATATATATATATATATATATATATATATTATATTGACTTTGTTCGTAACATAAAATTTGTCTAAATTTTATATTATATCATCTATAATTTTAATTGATATAAATGTTAATTTTTGTATTAAATAAAATCATTCTTCTCTTCTAGTTTCTACCTAAATCTTAATTAAAAATTTTTTAACTACTCTTTTCTTCTCTTCTTCTATTATTTTATTTTTTTTAAAAATAATTTAATAAGAATCAATATATTATAATTATATATAACTTTTAATGTAGAAAATATTTATTCATTATATTATAATAATTATGATGACAAATTTAATTTTTTTAAATTAAAAAATTAACAATATTTATATTTAATAATTTTGTTGCAATGTCTTTTTTTTTATAAAATGTTATAACGATGATGATAAATTCAATTCTCCAATTAAAACTAATTAATTATAATAATTAAAATAAATTAAATATTATTAAATATCATAATAATGAAAATGAATATAATTTGATATTTAAATATTTAAGTAACTATTCAATTTTTATATTTAATAATTTTATATCATAATGAATGAATAAGTAAAGAAAATATAAGTTTTAACTCTAAATTAAGTTAAAATATTATATTTAATTTCTATATATATCATTTATTTAAAAAATTAACGAATATTATTTTCACATACATTTAAAATTTTATGAGTATGAAATCTAAATTTTCACAACTATCAAAAGACTTCAATTCAAGAAAGATAGAAGTTAGTATTTAAAATATTATAAAAATATTTTTTAATATTAACATATTAAATTATATTTATTTGTTAAAATTCATATTTTAAGTATATAATTATTTAAAATTTTTAGATTGAAATATAAGTTCTAATGCTTTTAAAATTTTCTGAGAATATTCAATTATAAATGTAGAGAACAATACTTCTTAATAGAAAGATTCAATCATTTTGTAGACTTACAATTAGTTTCCAATATATAAATTAAACTACAGATATTATAGATAAAAATATTAAATCAATACAAATATTTTTTATTAATATAATTATTTATTATATTATATTTTTAAAAAAGATTAACTGAATATTGTTTTTTTTTTTTTGTAAAATCAGGTAATGTATAGAGAAACAAGGTATCACACAAAAAATATATTTGAAAGCAATCATCAAATATCAAATTCACTAAATCTGCGTCAAAATAGTTAGAACACATTTTTTTTTTTAATGATGATATAATATTTTAATCAATTTATATTAAAGTTATATTTATATATCTTTAAAATCATTATAGACTTAATAATAATATATTTTTTACTTTTTTTAATTCAATGTACATGTTTCTTTTTATCTAGTATTTTTAATTTATTTTTTAAATTTTATTTAAATCAATATTTGTTCTTTTAATAAAATTTTTAAAATATTATTATATCATTAAATTACTTTATAGATACATTGATTTTTATTGATTCTTAAAATGATAAATGATAAAGAAACTATATTAATTATTTTCAAAAATTAAAAATTATTATATAAGAAAAATTAATAAATTTATCATTTTAATTTTATGACTCAAACAATATAATTTTATTATACTTAATTAGTTATTAAATAAAATTAATTTATCTATAATATTGAGTAATATTAATTATATTGTGTTATAAAAAAAATATAGAATAATTTAATCATTTTAAAAAAATTCAATTCTATATTTTTATAATTTTTTATTTTTATTAACAAGTAAACTTTTAAATTCAGGATATATATAAAATTATTTATAATTTTTATTTACAATAATTTTATATATATAAATTTTTTAATATATTTTTTCAAATATTAACATATATTTTTGTATATATTAATATTGAAATCAGATTTTTAAAATTTTATATATTTGTTGAATAAATAAAACTTTAGTTTTGTATAGATTATTAGTCTGGTAATTTATTGTTAAAAAATATGGTATCATCGTTTAATAATTATATAGTAAAATTTTATTAGTAATTTTAAATTATAATTATAAATAAATAATTTATTATATAAATTTAGTTCAACAAATATAAATAAATACATAAATAAAAAATTATAAAAATTTTTATTTAAATTTTATAACTTATATTAAAAACATTATTATAGTTAATAATTTATTGTTATAATTATTTATTTTAAAAATTTATAATGATGAATGGTTTATGATATTATGAGACAATATGAATTTTATTTTTATATTTAAAAAATAAGATATTTTATACTATTTAAAATAAATTACTTAATTATATCATAATTTTTTTTTATCAAACATTCTAATTTGTATAATTAACTTTAGAAATTACTAAATTATATATATTTTAATTTAGATGCATTACCATATAGTTTTTTTTATATATTTATATTGAAATTTTTATTATTATCATTTGTTAAAAAATTATGACAGTAATAATTCAATTTATTTATAGAATAAAATATTTATTAATGTCTTCGTTAAAATTTTTTAATTAATTGAAAAAATTTTAGAAAATTTATAAGTAAGTTGGTATTTATTTATTTATCTTTTAAAATTTATCATACTTATTATCATATGAAATTTATTTATTATATTATATTTTAAAATAAATAATAATATATATGATAATATATATATATATATATATAAATATTTTATAATTTTTTAATATAATTATATTTAATATAATAAATTTTTTTACTATATATTTTATATGTTAAAATAAAACAAATTCGTGAGTATATTTATTAATTTTACTATAATTTTATATTCATAAATAATTGAATTAGTAATTTAATTTAGTAAATATGATACCATGGAAACGGCCCAATAATCTTTGCACATAATAGGTATTGTAAACTTTGGAGAAATAATGAAAGACCTTATTCATAGGTTCCGGATTTCCTAAATTTGGCTGCAATTCGAAGGTTAACCTGTGTAGTTTCCGCGCGTGTGTAATGAACGAAGCAGCAGCAACAGCTAGGCTTTCCAGTGGTGGCGGCGGTGTGGTTCGCTTTCCGTTATCTGCATCCACATCTATGGTCATTCAGAAAGGGGACATCACCAAATGGTTCATCGATGGTTCAACTGACGCAATAGTATGCACACTTCCTCTCTCGTGATCCATTTCATTATTTCACTTCGTGGAACATGAATCACCTGCGTGGTCTCCTCTCCTGCAGGTAAATCCTGCAAACGAGGGAATGCTCGGTGGTGCTGGTGCCGATGGAGGTTAATTCCTTGAATTTTTTTGTAAAATGAATAAATTAATTCGTAATGGTTTATATATAATGATTTCGGTGGGGAAAAGTGGGGGCCAAATTAAAATCGATTGACTCTGATTTCAGCTATACATAGGGCTGCTGGCCCAGAACTTTTTGAAGCATGCTTCAATATCCCTGAAGTCAGACCCGGAATTCGGTGCCCAACAGGGGAAGCAAGGATCACACCGTTAGTGCTTCTTCTGATTTTATGCTTAGCTGTGCAATTCTTTAAGCTTATTCGGGTGCTTTTAGAACAACCGGAACATGCTCACGGTGGAATCTGGATGAGCTTGTCAAAATAGTTTTGAATTGAAACTGTTTGGCCTTATTTTCACTTGTTACCCTATGTTTGTTATCACATTACGGCCGAAAGTAAAATTTTTTTTCCTTTGCAAAAATTACATTACGCTTGCCTTGGAGATCGTGATTTACCTTTGCAACACAGTTCTTTTGAATGTATGCACAAACACCGTATGAAGTGTAACCTGTTCTTGTACTTGTTCATGTGCAGAGGTTTTAAGCTACTTGCTTCTCATGTTATTTACACTGTTGGCCCAATCTACTTTGCTGATAGTAATCCTGCTGCCTCTCTAGCAAGTGCTTACAGGTAAGGTTTTTGACACTGTGCTCATGTTTCTATTCTTCATTGTCGTTGAATCAGCACATGTTTATTTCATTTTAATGTTTTGGTTCTCCCTGTTATTACACTTGGTTCGGTTGGTTCAACGTTTGTGTTGTCAAATTGATTTTCAGGAATACTTTGAGGGTTGCAAAAGAAAACAACATTCAGTATATAGCATTCCCAGCTATATCATGTGGTGTCCATGGGTAGGCTTATGCTAACAATTGCCCCCTCCACCATCTTAATTTATTCATTCTTTATTTGTTGATTATCAATATTGGTCACGTGGCATGGCTTGAGATGTAATTGTCTTTTACAATGGAATCCCAATGAATATTATTTTCATCATTTCTATTCACTTCAAAAGTTTGATCATTGGAACAAAACAAAACATACATGAAAAATTAATAACATAGTGGCTGTTCGTTTAATACGATGTGATGACTGTACTATTTCTTATGATGACTAATCTAATCTGTTCTCAAACCTAATAAATTCAATCTTTTGGCTCTCAAATCTAATCTTCCTATTGATTTAGATCCGAGCCTTTCATGACAATTGTGTAATGCTGCATTGTTTTAGATACCCTTATGATGAAGCTGCTACTGTGGCAATTTCTACCATCAAAGAGTTCCGAAATGAATTTCGAGAGGTATTACCTTCCATTTTCTTTATTTGGTCTGAGTTATGTTATGAATAAATATACATTTCAATTTGAACTTTTAATAAAATGATGCATTCCCAATTAGATGTGATTGTGAGTTTGCCTTTGGGTTTCGTTTGAGGATTACTTTGGCACCTTGTTTTTAATTTTCATACTACACTTTACTTTTTAATGTAATTTCTATTTTAATAATAATTTATCACCTGTGTTGTCAAAAGCACTAGTGGGATCAGTTAGGGTTCAGATATAAAATCAAGGTAAGGATTTAAGTTAAGAAAATAATGGTTTTATTAATCCCTAGAAAGAATTAGGATTACAAAAGAATCCCTTAGTGTTAATAGCTCCTGAAAAGAAAATGAAATTCTCCCCTAATAATTAATAGAATCAAAGATGCCTAAATCAAGAAACTAATTATTTATAGAATCTGTTAGCAATATTAACAAACTAGCTAACGTTAATTAAGCCTTATCTTTATCTTAAACAACTCTTTTCTTCCCTTCTTTCTATAAAAAACCTACACTTGAAGTCTCTTATTGACATTAATCATATGTTTCTCTGCCATGATTTTAACACTAACTTCACCCAAAGAAACACCCTTGTCCTCAAGGCTTTCAAATCTGGAAATTGATTTGGTAGAACAAATTCATCCTCCCAAGTGACTTCTATAAGAAGAAGACACTTCCATTGAACTAAAATATACTTAACCTTCTTACCCTCAATTGAAACAATGAGACTAGATAACTCAAATTCAGGTTTAGTCATATCTTTAGAGACTAAATTTGTAGGGAGTTCGGTAGGAGTATCATTAAACAATGTCGTACTTGGTAAAAAAAATAAATTTAAATACAATAACTAGGAGACAAACCTAGTTCCTTTGAGGACCTAGGTTATAAACGCTAAAAATGAAACATAGAAAATTGGAGGGAATTTTGAATTCAAGCAAGAATCAAGAAATTAAAGAACAAAGAAATTCAATAAATCAAAAGCAATTGACTTATGATATTTACTCCCCAAAACATATTTGGTTCCAAAATCAATCTCAATCCAATTTGTAAATTCAATTTAAAGAATGTGTGTTTTTAATCCAAATTCCTTGAATGATCATTGAACATGCATCACTAATCGATTTGATACAAATTTTTTCAATCCGATCTTGGAAGTCCGATATATGCGAAGAAACATTTTGAGATTGCACGAGGAAGGAATTCGACATGTACGAATTATCCGTAATTATATCAATGTGATTTGATACCAAATTAAAAGTATGTATAATAGAATTGAGAAGGGTAAGAAATAAGATTTCATAGTGGATTGAATTAGAAAAATTACCTCATTGCCTTGCAGCTTGCAGGATCAAATTCGTAGATAAGGTTATGAAATTTCTCCTCTATCACCATTGTAAACACAAATGCAAGTTTAAAGGTAATTATCATGGAAAAGCTAAAATTAATTTGCCAGAAGCAATAGAAGAAATAATACAGAATTTAAAGTAGTCTAAATCAAAAGAAAGATAAAAATGTAAACGGGAAGAAAGTTAAAAATATCCATAATTCCTCTAACTCTTCCCTCTTTTTTAGATGCTAACCCTAAATTAAACCTAACTAATAAATTCAGAAAGTAAAATGGGTGACAATCCAATCTGCCCCAAATCTTAATTGCAAACTATTAATCGATACTTATTTCAAGTAATAGCATCTCCACTTGTATCAAAAGTTATGATCAAAATAGTAAGCAAAAGTCGAAAGTACTACAATATAAGAAATAGATAGAATTACTAATTAAAGTCCAAATAGGCTCAAGCGAATAAAGCTAACTTAAAATAGTAAAGCATGGTAGTCAAAATCGCGAGTTAACACGTAAAATCGTACGATTTTACGATCTGCTGCTGGTCCAACGATCTTGATCCTAGGTTGGAACTCGTTTTGGTGGGATCTCTGGGATCGCACAATCTTCCTTGTGAAATCGTGGAATTTGCGATCTTGGGTGAGTTGCTTCTGCCCCATTTTTAGGGTTTTATTTTCACTCTTCTCTCTGATCTCTTGCCTCTTTGCAACCTGCGAGGCACATTTCTCTTCTTCTTCAGCATAGCGAATCTGTTCATTTCATTCTCTACCTTTTCTCCTTCAAATTGCCTCTTTCTTCACCATTTTGGACGTGACTAGGACTTTGCGACTTCGTTCCTCTGTTCTGCGATCCCTATAGCTTTCGCTTTGATGACCTTGTTTGTGCCAACAACTTTGCTCTGCGCTGGCAACCTTGTCATAGTGAAGCATTTTGCTATGGTGGCCATCGCAGCTGTATTTGCAGCCAACGTAACCTAATTTACAGTGTGGCTGGAGTAAAAGTTATTAAGTTTCCCTTTCTATTCCTAGAATGAAGCAGATTTTAGGGTTTTTAAAGGGTAAAAAAAGACTTCTCATCATTTAAAAATAATTTGACTTTCCCTTTTTACCCATAAAAAGGCTCTGTTTTAAGTTTCTTTAAGGATAAAATAGTCTTTTAACAGAATACAAGATCTTTTCCCTCTTTGTTTCTGTTCTTAGTATCTCTGTTTTGAGATGGGGTGGCTCACTTCTCTCATTTGTCTTCTGGTCTTTATATTTATACTATTTTACATGTATTTGTACAATTTTGTAGGATCTTATGATTCTTGTTACGATCCTACGAGATGTAATTTTTTATCTCCTCTTCGATCCTACTTAGAATCTCGATTTTGACTATCTTGTAGTAAAGTAATCATAGAAACAATGTCAAGAGATAGCATGAGGATACAAAAGTGTCAATATAATATGATTCATCAATCATAATGTCCAATAACCTTTTTTTATTGAGAAAGATGAAAAGTAGGATGGATCTTAGAGGAGATAGGTAGTTGCAGCTTGTAAGCAATATTTCCAACCCTTTCTAAAATCTGATAAGGACCAAAAAACTAAGTAGCTAATTTTTGATGAATGCGGTGGGTAACATATTGCTGTTTGTGGGGTTGTAATTTGAGACATTTGTTACTTGTCCACATACTTCTTCATCTATTCATGTGCCTGTTGTAAATGGCCCTTAAATTGGTTAAGAGTTTCATCTCTATCTTTAAGTTCTCTAACCACTGCCTCAACCCAAATTTTTCCTTAAAGCAATTTAAGCTTCAAAAGTTGTCCCAATAGAGGAATGAAAAATAGTCTTGTACCACAACTCAGCCCACAAAACCCATAAAGACTAGTTTTTAGGATGGTCCAAAGTAAAGCACCACAAACAAGTTTCCACGCAATGATTAACAATATTTGTATGGCTGTCCATTTGCAGTTGATAAGTAGTACTTAACAGCAGCTTAGTGCCTTGGAGAGTAAATAATTCTTGCCAAAAATGATTCATTAAGGATAAATGAGGCGAAGCCATTTAAATGAATGATCTCACCAGCAAAAATATCTGCTACCTATTTTTTTATATAAAGGTGTTTTAAATGAATGAAATGCCCATATTTAGTTCATCCATCTACCACCACCATCAAGACATCAAATCCCCTAGATTTAGGCAAGACCATGATGAAATCTAGTGATACTTAATCCTTGATTAGAGAAGGAGTTGACAGAGGTTGCAAAATTTTGATAGTGGAAGTTACGTTGTACTTATGTCTTTGACAAGTGTCACAAGCTTAAACAAACTCTTTGACCCTCTTCTTTGTATCAATCTAATAGACATTTCTAGCCAAACACTTATAAGTTCTTGCAATAAATCTAGAAGTATAAAAGAAATTGTAGAAAGGACCAGTTTGTCATGATAATATAGGATTCTACCTTCGAAGGAATACTCGGGTATGGAATTTGGGTCTTAGATGATTTCTTGCAAGAAAGAATCCTCCATGACTTCCTTTTGAATTGTAGGAAGCTGGTGCCATAGGGGAAAAGAAATCAAAGTTGCATTCGTTGCTGAACTCTTTACGTCTCTGTTTTAGGACAAGGCATCAGTAGCCTCATTGGTGAGACCATGTTTCTAAATCAGCTCAAATTGAAAGCCTAAGAACAACTTTGATATGTAGCATTGTTTGTTCGCAGAAGCCACTCTCTGTTGTGGCAAATGTCTCAAATTGTGTTGATCTGTGTAGACCAAAAACTTTTTTTTCGAAGGGATAATGCCTCCAATATAAGATGGAAGAACCATAGCCATCAATTCTTTTTCATATATTGATTTAGTGTTAGGGTTCAGAGATGAAATCAATGAAAAGATTTGGGAAAAATGATGGTTTTATTCACCACTTAGAAATAATTTGGATTACAAAGTCTCCTAGAGCTAATAGCTCTTGAACAGAGAATGAAATTCTACTCAAAACAATTACCTAGAAAAAGAACCCCTTATTAGCCCATCTAATTTCATAGTTTTTGCTCCATTTAGGCTTCCACTCGCAAGGCCCAACTAGTCCATCACCTTGCACTTTAGTTCTTTCCCATCCTCCTCAGACCCATCTCCCAAGGTGGGTGCCAAGGCTTCATCTTCCTTTCTCTCTTCATCTTCCGCCAAAACCATTAAGCATAGAGAACAATCTCAACATTGATGCCTAGGACTGAATTTCTCTTTGCATTTCAAACATAAACCCAATTGCCAACGCTCCAAATCTCATGAGGAAGATGTCTCATGCCTCTGTTATGACTCCTACCATCATTCCTCACTATCCCTGACTATGTTGTTGTCATCGTATCGGAATAAGGACCTAAGGTCGGAGCTTTAAACCCTTGGTTAACTGAGTTTTCCCCTGTGCACATAGATTCTTGTTCAATGGAGATGGCAATACCCCTTCTTGAACTTCTATTGCCCAACATTCCCCCACCAAAACTCCTATTTTGCGACAAGGAAATCTCACTCTCCTTTGTGATTTTGGCCTCAATTCCCCTTGCAAAATGCATTGCATGCCGCCTAGTCAATGGGTCTAGGGTTTGTATCCTCAACCTGATCTCTTCTTTTAACTGTCCTACAAAATACCCAAGGTACGACTTGTTTGTGAACAAGTGTATCTGTGAAAAAGTAATAATGATTTCTAAAATAAATTTCTATAATATCATCTTACTAGGATTGTTCTCAAATACTTGGAATATCTTAACTTAATTGTTTGAATTAAAAGGATACGTAATGAAATAAAATAAAAGAAGATTAAAATAAAACAACACAACTTATGACAACAAATTTTTTGAGATGAATTCTAGAGCTTATGGCAGGATTGAGTGGAAAGTGGTTCGAAATAACAGTGGTGATTGAGTGGAGCGTGAATGGCAGGATGGTAATCTGGATTGAGGTTGCAATCTATGGCTTTACAACCCTTTTCAAGACAATGTTTACAAGCAAGAAGCGATATCTTATAATTTTTTAAAAAAGAAAGGTTAAAAATAAATTCATGGTGTTGTCGAATGTAGCACATTGGGTGCAAAAAAAAAGTAGTGGTGCAGAGATTTCCAAATATAAGATATCATTTTTAAATCAAATTAATTCCTATTTTATAACTTTTCAAAAGAGATTACGATTACATTTATTTAAATCAATTCTCAATTTTGTGGTTCCAAATATCTATTCACTTGTAATACCATATAGAGCTATGAGATGAGGCAATGTGTTGCTTTATTTGGAAGGTTGAACATTCATTGACGGAATATGCATATAATAAGACTATGCATTAGGATCCCATTGCAAGGTATGAGACTTGAATTGCACATTAGAAGTATGGGATTCTAGTGAGGAGTTTATATGGTTTTGGCTCTTCAACTACAATGACTAGTTTTTTGTGATGTGGTTCTCTCAAGGTTCTTTTCATGATATTTCTATGATTAAGCTTTATAGAATATGTAATTAAATTTAAGTGTCTATTACAGGTTCACTTCGTTCTGTTCTCGCCAATAAAGCCTAAAAAATTTAAAGGTGGTGTAGAAAAGAGAGTTAAAACAGTTGCAAAAAAATTTAATGGTGGTGGTGTAGAACTTTCAAAATATAGGATATCATTTTAAAATCAAATCAATACCTCTTTTTATAACTTTCAAAAGATTGCATATATTTCATTCAATTTCCAATTTTGTGGTTACAAATATCCTTACACTCGTAAATACCATATAGAATTATGAGATGGGGCAATACTTTGCTTTATTTGAAAGGATGGACTTAGATTGATGATTTATGTATCTAATAAAATAATATTTCTATGATTGGGGTTTTTGGAATATTTAATTACATCTAAATGTTTATTTCAGGTCCACTTTGTTCTGTTCTCGCCTGATATTCATGACATTTGGTTAAATAAGGCAAACGGGTTGCTGAAAGAGTAGTGTGCTCCATCTTGTAATCAGCCCACACAATTGAACACAATCATCTAAACTCCTGCAACAAGTTTAATAGATGTGTTTTCTTAATAGATGTTTACTGATTCTCATCTACGTCTTGTAATATCTATCTAGTTTGCATATGCATCAAAGTTAATGTAACAAAGGTGAAGAGAAGAATAAACATTACATATCTATTTACTACTAAGAAACAAAGTTAATTAGGTGACAAATGTACTTGAATAAGCCACCCCGCTTAAGTTTTATATTAAAATACTTCCTTTTTTAACTCGTCGGCTATCACTTTCTTTTTCTACTTTTATATAATTTTTTCTAACTACTTTTTTATGTTTTCGTTTCTCATCCTAACACTCCTTTTACTGATGAGCAAAATAATATAACCTTTTTGTGTTCACTTGCTGTGTTTTATAATGATATAAAACACAATTCATTGTTCGCCTAATTGCCTATCACTTGTAAAATATTATTCTACTGTTAGATTAATATAAAACAAGTTGAAATAACATCCAATTAATGTCATAAAGTATTTCACTATCACATATTAACGTTATGTATTATAGTATGAAAGATTATTATAATTAATTTACCAATATCTATGTAAAAATAGCTTTGTTATTTTATTATCTTATTTGTAAGTAATTTATGACACGTTACGTGTGCAAATAAAATATGCTATATTTTTTTTTACTACATAAATATACAAACACTTTGTATTATAAGGAAGATTTTGATATGATATTACGTTAATTCTTTTAAATCATTAAAATTTTATTTTTTATATCACTTTAGTTTTTCATGAAGATTAATAGGATAAGATTTTAGATCTTTTTCTTAATAATTTAATTTATTACTACTCATTTTTTTTTCTACTTAAATCCTTTGTAAGGATCAACATGACGACATTTAAGATTTGTGAAGTGTTAACAAATTTGTTTGAGTATTTCATTAAGACAATATAAGTATAAATTATCTAGATAGATGATCATATTGTTTGAAAGACAATGCAAGAATAAATCATCAAAGCTGATTATAACGTTGGTAAGAATGTTTAATTAATAAAATAGTCTAATAAAACAAATAAACTATTCATGCATGAAAAAAATATATATACTAAGGTAACTCAAAAGAAAGACTATAAAGCAAAAGTTGAAGAGCCAAGTTTGAAGATTTGAATATTAAGAAAGCACCAATCTTAAGAAGTTGAAGAAGGATCATCCAGAAGAACAAATGTGCATTCATTTGTAAAAGATAAAAAACACTTTTTTTCTTTGCCTATTCTTGCACATTTCACAAATCTAGCAAAAAGATTGAAAAAAAAAAGAAAAACATTCTTGATATAGAAAAAAATTTGCTCACATAAAAAAACCTTACACAATTTTTTTTTTGTTAAATCTAAAATAGACCTAGCATGAATCTTATATTTACTGTAACATCCTTATTTTTTATTATTTTTATTTAAATAGTAATTATATTATTTTAAATTGAGGAATAGAAATTAGAGAATATATAGGAATAGGATTTCATACACAAGCTATAAAAAGACTAAAAAATTAGACTTCCTTAAGATGAAATTGTGAGACAAGATTAAGGTATAATCTAATTATGAATGAGACATATTTATCTAAATTGATTTAGTTTAATAAGAATTCATCTAAGAAAAGATACATAAGAATTATTTTAGTTATTAGAAGATAAAAATAAAAATTTAGCAATAAGTCAAAAACTAGCTAAAATGGTTAAGGATTTAGTTCAAATAAGCTTTAAAAAGTTAGCCCTTTGTTTTAATTATAAGTTGATCTTTGTTTGAATTAAAGGAATGATTTATTTATAAAAATATTTTTTTTATTTTATTAAAGAAATATTTTATAAAGAGAAGAACTTATCTTGGCACTTTTTTTTTGTTTTTTATGAAATAAAATAAAATTTTTGTTTTTATATTTTTTATAAAGAAAATATGCTTGAAATTACTCTTAGTTTAAAATAATTTTAAAACTATTTTGAACCTGAAAAATAAAATAAAAAATATTTTATACTTAACGAGTCTAGTTCTCACTCTTATGTATATTCCTTGTGCAATAGAGGAATTAAAATTGTCATGTAGTTCTTTTTTTTAAAATTGAGTTTTGGATAAGTGTTAAAGATTTTCTTCTTTTTATTTTAAAAAATTGATTTTTCTTTATTATTTTTTTAAGTAAATCCACTCTTATACAAGGTTCAAGTTAGCACATGGCTACAAAATAAATCCTTACTATCCAAGCAACATTAAAGGTGGATCCACCACTCTATCAAAATTACTTAAATTCAAAATGATTTTAATATTAATTTTTCTTTTTTAGAAATAAATCCATCCTATTTGTTTAGAAAACAAAAGAACAATATATATATATATATATATATATATATATATATATATATATATATATATCTTGATGAAAAAAATGAACAAAAGAAAAAATTATAGAGTTAAGTTAAGAAGGTTAAGTTTTTAAGATTTGCAAAAAGATATTTTTAAGAATAGAAAAGGTTAGGTTTTTTTAGAGTTTGTAAAGAGGATTTTTAGGGTGAAAAGAGCATTAGAATTTTTAGGTTTGTGAAAAAAAGAAAGAATTTTTAGAGTTTATCATTGAAAAAAGGTTTTTAGAAAAAAAATTAGTTTTTTTAGAGTTTTGCAAAAGGAGTAATTTTTGGATAAAAAAATGAGGTTTTTATTTATTTATTTATTTATTTTACAAAACGAACAGATTTTTCATGTTAGAATAAAATTAGGATTTGCAAAAATAAAAATTTTAGAGTTAAAAAAATTATAGATTTTATAAGTTTATTAGAAATTTTAGAGTTAATAATAGATATTGCAGTCATACGAAAGAATGATGTAACTCTGATATTTTTTGTAACCCATTTGTTTGATGCTCTATTATTATATCTCTCCTTCCATTAGATTGGCCCAAATCTCTAACAATAAGTGCAACAATTTCAGCTTGTTATACCGTCGAGATTCTCTTGATCTTATACTAAGAAACTTGATTAGTACAATTTTGTCATAAGATGAATATAATTTATCTCTTGCTATTCTAAACATCTAGCCAATAAGATTATGCATATCCAACATATCCTTCAAACTTTGAACAATATTGTCATCAAGATTTTCTCCATTATTGATGGAATGTAATCTATTTTAGACTTCATTTTCTATATCATGTACATAAAGTTGTGAGAATTTTGGTTGTTGACCTTCTTGTGGTATGAGTGCTCTAATCCTGTGATAATTTTGACCACTAATTCTAAAAACATAAGGCCCTGATCTTAAATTGATTGTATTGTCAATTTTTAAACCTTTTGGTGGTTCTTGAAGGATTGGTAATTAAATTTTTCCTTGTTGACAATAAAGAGAAAACTTAGGGGTTCTTGGTTATCATAGTTTATTTGTTCTTTCTGCAAACCACACAGAACTACCACAATATTATATAAATATATTAAAATATAACTTCAATATTAAAATTAATAATAATATTTTTCATAATTTATGAATTAAAATTATTACCATAATTTAATATAATCTATATTTTATTATATACTTCAAACACTGAAATATATTTTGAATTAAAAAATTACACTTACAAAATTATTAGCTTATATTATATATTATTAAATCAAATTTCTAATAAAAAATAAGTTTATATATTTAAATTATTTTATTAATTTAACATAATCCATATTTCAATATATAATTTAAATACTAAAATGTAATTTGAATTAAAAGAATTATATTTATAAAATTATTTGTTTATATTATATATTGTTAAATACAAGTTTACATATTTAAATTATTTTATTAATTAGTTTAACATAATCTATAATTTAATGTATATTTCACGCACTAAAATATATTTTAAATTAAAAAAAATTACACTTACAAAATTATTATTTATATTATATATTATTAAATTAAATTTCTAATAAAAAATAAGTTTAAATATTTAAATTATTTAATTAATTAATTTAATATAATCTATATTTTAATATTTACTTCAACTACTAAAATATACTTTGAATTAAAATTATATCTGATCCATACTTTTTAGTTTATATTCCATATAGTTAAGTTAAATTTTTAAAGAAAATATAAGTTTATATATTTAAATTGTTTTATTAATTAGTTAAGTATAATGTATAGTTTCATATTTATTTCAAACTTTAAAATTTACTTCAAATTAAAAAAATTACACTATCAAAATTATTATTATTATTTTTTGCTAATAATTATTAGTTTATTTTATATTTTGTTAAAATAAATTTCTAATGAAAAACAATTTTAGAATTGAAAATACTATATATAATATAAAATTAAAAATACATTAAATTAAAAATAGTTAAAATGAATTATAAAATTTGACATAATAAAAATAATTAAACAAAAAAATATCTATAAGTATTTTGAGTTATTTTTTAACAAAAATAAAATTATATCTTTACTTTAAATTATGTTTAAGTTTTAATAGTGTTAATTTAAATTATTTTAATAATTAGTTTAATATAATCTATATTTTATTATATACTTCAAATACTAAAATGTACTTTGAATTGAAAAAATTATGCTTACAAAATTACTAGTTTATATTATATATTATTAAATTATATTCTAATCAAAACAAGTTTACATATTTAAATTATTTTATCAATTAATTTAAAATATAATTTATATTTTGATATGTACTTCAAATACTAAAATATAATTTAAATTAAAAATATTATATTTATAAAATTATTAGTTTAATTATATATTGTTAAATTAAATTTTTAATGAAAAGATAAAATTATATATTTAAATTATATTATTAATTAGTTTAATATAATATATAATTCAATATGTACTTCAAATACTAAAATATATGTTGAATTAAACAAATTACACTTATAAAATTACTAGTTTATATTATATATTGTTAAATTAAATTTTTAATAAAAAATAAGTTTACAAATTTAAATTATTTTATTAATTAGTTTAATATAATCTATATTTCAATATTTACATAAATACTAAAATATAATTTGAATTAAAAAATTACATTCATAAAATTATCAGTTTATATTATATATTGTTAAATTAATTTTTAATGAAAAAATAAGTTAACATATTTAAATTATTTTATTAATTAATTTAATATAATATATAATTCAATATATATTTCAAAAACTAAAATTTACTTTGAAGTAAAAATATTATACTTACAAAATTGTCAGTTGATATTATATATTGTTAAATTA